TCGACACGTTTCAGAAAGGCGGGGCATAGAGGAGAAACAATAATGTACAGTATGTGGAAAATAATGTGTTTTTTTCACCTTAAACCGCATAAATACATTTCATTACACCAAATACACAAAATAATGTTCTTTTTAGCAACATCATATGACCCCTTTAAGTATTAATTTAGGCATTAGCACATGATTATTCATGTACCCTTATTGTAAAGTGTTACCTTAATGTCTAACCCTGGGTTTTGATGGTCAAGGATTTCAATGATACCATATAAAACAACATAAACTGTTCAGGTGAACAGTTAATGGTGAATTCAGCAATGTGAGAAGGATATCACAGTATCACAGCATTTACAATAGTCCATATTATGGCTATTATTTTTTTCTTTCTTTGATAATTAACTAATATTTTATTCAATAATATAATAAAAGATTGTTTTCAAAAATACAATCATAAATTTCATTTCCCTTTCTTGCAGGCTTGACATTTGTACCCTTTAGAGTACAAAATGTTCCATAGTTTGTGTGTTGCAATATGGACAGGACGAGACAGCTAGACCTCTGTCTAGGTCTGGGTGATATAGCTAAAAAAATGTATCAACGATATAATGTTTCATATCGTTCGGTATCGATAATTATTGAAATTTTTTTATAACCTTTTTTAAAACAAAGAGCAATAGAAAAAAAATGTAAATTAACTAGACAAACAACAAATATTTTTTGGTTTTAACAGTCAAACACAAAATAAAAATTAAACAAATATCTCATTTCTAATGTTTTATATGCAGATTAAATAGGTTAAACTTTTGTCTTGTTTCCCGAGGCCACAGGAGGGCGCAATGAGCAAAATAATGCAGCACATTAAATTGCCAAAGCAAAGAAAATAACTGTCTATAAAAAAATTTGCATTACCTCTAAATTAACATATAAATCAAATATAATTTTGTAAATTGCATAAACAATTATGAACAAAACAGCATCACGTATTTATGCACTGCTTAATACAAAGAGCCGAATCGCTCATCACGAAGATTTCCTTTAAAAGCATACGAGACGCAGTGAAAAGGAATAAACCTCCACAAATTCACAACGTGTTTTCTAAAAGTGTAAACTGTTTTAACTTTGCATGGCTTTCTATACATCTCTTGTGTGAGACGCGAGAGCAGCAGTCGTATTTGTCCGTCTAGAAAATGTGCTGAATATGCGTTCTGTGTGAATGGCTTGGTTTCGGTTTTAACTTAATCAAGATCTTCTCCGCATTGAGCTTCTATATTTCTGTAATATTTTGAATGAATAACGCAGCAGCGGCGCATCTCGTGGGCTAGACTAACAAAACATTAAACTACGTCATTTACATCATCATCACCACATCTCGCGCTCCACTGATGACGCTCCCTGACGCACATCTATCATTTGATTGTACTATTTTTGCATTCAAATGCAAATATTTATTTTAAATTCGACTTTTTATTTTTTATTCACAATCTCCTCATCACAGGCAGGCACAGCACTCATGTTCGTGTTTGTGTGTGCTGTCTGCGTCACTCATAGCACGTGCCTATATCGAACATTTTTTATATCGTTATCGATGAAGGTGTACCGTCGATAAATATCGGTACCGTTTTATCGCCCAGGCCTATGTCTGTCTGAAATTATTAATAGCCTTCAGCTCGTCTGTATTGTTGGATCGACTGTTTCTCATCTTTCTCTTGAAAATATCCCATAGATTCTCTATGGGGTTCAGTTCAGGACAGGCATGTTGGCTGGCCAATCAAGCACAGTCATATCATGGTCAGCAAACCACTTGGAAGTGGTTTTGGCGCTGTGGGCAGGTGCTGAGTCCTGCTGGAAAAGGAAATCAGCTTCTCCATAAAGCTGGTCAGCAGATGGAAGCATAAAGTGCTCCAAAATCTCCTGGTTGACAGCTGCATTGACTTTGAACTTGATTTCTGCCATATGTACATTAACTGACATTCACCACTGATAAGCTACCACTAAATATTGTAGAAACTTAATTTTCTGTAAAGCTGCTTTGCAACGATTTGTATCGTGAAAAGCGCTATACAAATAAACTTGAATTGAACTGAAAACACAATGGCCCAACACCAGCAGACGTCACGGCTCCCAAATCATCACTGACTTCAGAAACTTCACACTGGACTTCAAGCAGCTTGGATTCTGTGCCTCTCCAGTCTTCCTCCAGAGCTTTATTTCCAAATGAAATGCAAAATTAACTTTTATCTGAAAAGAGCACTTTGGAGCACTGATAACAGTCCAGTTCTTTTTCTCCTTAGCCCAGGTAAGATGCTTCTGACGTTGTTTCTGTTTCAGAAGTGGCTTGGTAGCTCTTTTCCTGAAGACATCCGAGCGTGGTGACTCTTGATGCACTGACTCCAGCTTTAGTGAAGCTCTCCCAAGTGTTTGAATAGGCTTTGCTTGACAGTATTCTCAAGTGAGCTGTAAGCTCTACTCATCAAAATGAAACCAAAAATATAATATATATATATATATAGGGCAATAATACAGCATATCGCGCTATTGAGCCACTCAAAATTACAGCAAGGGAAATTCCTTCACCGTGACATGATGTTGTTTTTGCTATGCACTTTGCTATATAAACTCTTGTATTCTTTTTGTTGGGGGGATTCTCTGTGATTGGTATGAGGTCCTCCCGGCCATGATTAAAGCATATTCAAAGGCATTGTCAGGAGTCTGTCTGTTACTGCTGCAAAGCAGGTTAGTCGAACACTAGAGATGTTAGTCCTAAGTGATCAAAAGGGGCGAGACGTCATCCAACTCTATATGTGTCGCTAGAGATGCGCCAGGAGTAGTAATTCATTAGCGCTGCCAGTAGATACTTTGGAGATGTGTCGCCATAGACAAGACCCCAGGTAAACATAAGTCAGGTGTGTAGGGGAATTTCTACCACACAGTGAAAATGTCTTTTTTATATACGTATTAAATTGTATGTTCATTATTTGATTAAAACAAAACGAGAGGAAAAAATGAATGTATGGACAAAAATAAGCATCCAAAATAAGAAAACAAATATTTGTAAGAAACATGTAAAATAACTAACAGCAAATTGTAAGGACAGAAATGTGATCTACTGTATTTAGACTCAAGCACCTACCTGGTGCTGTCTCAGTTGAGAGAGATGGTAGCTTGTTGCCACACTCACAGCAGAATTTTGCCTTTTCTGAAGACACGTGATTGCATTGAGGACACTTCATTCTGAGATGATGCCTGCAAAGAGCATGAGAATGAGTCAAGGGAATTTACCCATTGCTCCGTAACACACAAATGGTCACATGATTTGTAAGAACTCCATATTGCTTTCAGTTTCTGTTTGCTTATAAACCAATGTCCACAGAACTCAGGATCAATAAATACAGATTCATGCTGTCAATAAACAGCAAAGAGGCAACACCATCTCTTTCGTGACTTCCATAGACATTACTGTTTCATAGCAGACACTGAGTTTGAGAGTATAGAACATGGAAATAAAGCATTAAAATAAATGAGACAACAAATAAACACACACACACAAAATCCACGTGTAAACGTAGAGATAACATATTTTAAAAGTGGATTTTTTTGGCAGATCAGGATCTCTTACATTTGTCAACACTACACCTTTTGTCTGACACCCATTTCAGGTCTCTGAGTCTCTACTAATGAGCTGATGGTCTGAATCAGCCGTGTTTGATTATAGGTATGACATGTCTGAATCTTCTCTAACATATTTAACACATGATACGTTCTCAGCTCACATCTATCGACATCCTAGCATCACGATCTGTATAAAACAAGCCAATTTTATCATTAAAACTGCACATCAAACAGCGCTGTGAGCCAAAACAGATCTGATAACACAAGCAAGCTAAGCGAATACTCCTCAGACAAGTTCACTTAAAACAGGAGTCTGTGAGAGTGTAATTTTCCTGCAGATAACCTAGCAATCCGATCGCTTCCCTAATAAAGCTAAACACGAGTGGATTTGTTTCTTACCCAGTGAAGGAGTCACAGCTGAGCACACCTCGTGTATCTGGCACAGCTCAGAACAGTTCAGATCACGTGCATTACTTACTCTGGTGAGGCAGGGCAGGGCACTGATCTTACATCTACTTTCGTTTTGTGAAGAAAAATGGGCGTGTATCCATTTATTAAGTCAATAACATTAACGGTAAAACAACAACGGTAAATAAAGAAAGAAAGCATGAGATGAAACATCAGCTGAATACCTTAATGAAATGACAGCTATAAGTGTTTTAAAAACACCTCTTACTGTAGTGATGTGACCCTCTCATTCACTTGTATGAAAGCTTCTCAATCCCAAGTAGGGTTCGCTGCAGCCTGCGGTGGACATCCAACCCCGCCCACATCCACGTGTGACGTCGGACGTCACGCCCATCCCCGATACAACCCCGCCCACATCCACGTGTGCCGTTGGAAGCCACGCCCATATCAAATACGTCATTTTGTGATTCCCCATCCCCTACCGGGAAACCCGGAAATTTATTGACATAAATAATTTATATTTTTGTAAAAGATGTCTAGGCACACATCTGAATATTTGGGTTGACGTGTTCTGGAACAGTGTTGTAAATACAACTTAACCACTGATTTCTAGTCGTGTCCTCTTTTGGAAGACCAAACAAAGTAGTTTCACTTTCACAACGAAACATACAGCATCTCCACGACATGGAGGCAACAATACTACATCAAGAATAAAAGTTACTTCTTTCTTTGCGTGAACATTTGGGCGGCGTTATGGAAATCTTCCCACACAGTGACGTAGACATGTGGGGGCGTGTTAGAACGAGCCGTTTTAGGACGGCGTGGACGAGTCTTAACTTTTATAAAGAATATCTCTTTGGGTTTGAGACTTTAGTCTTTGCAACTTTAGGGATCTTATCTATTCACGAGAAAGGAAAACTTGAAATTGCATCACATGACCCCTTTAACACCGTGTCTACACCAGACGCGAGCGGTGTGACAAAATACAATAGAACCTATTAATTATTAAGAACCTATTAGGGGCCGAATCACATGTCGTGCCTAAAAACGTGTGGAAAACGCTAGGCACGCCGCTTTCTGCTTTTTTCCAAAGCGTTCGGGCGCTTGTGCTCCGGAGGCATCTGCCGTTACTAAGCAACCATGACCTGCGCTCTCCATGAAGACGCGGAAGTTTCAACAAAGGATAAATGGATTTGCGGCACTAAAAATCGCTTGCAGTAGCTCTGCTACTAAATTTATTTAAAAATTACTATCCCTGTACAGCTATGATCAGCTGTACCTTCATCTTGGCTGAGCTTTCAGTGTTGTTACGGGAAAGGATGAAGCTGATTGGTTGGTTCTTGTCACATGACCTGCGGTGCGCTTGCGGCATTCTGAAAAGTTGAAATGTCTTTATATCGATGCGGCGCGGACGCGCCTGGAAAAAATGAGCACGTCGCACCCGTGTCGATTCTATTATGAGCGCACCTGCCGCGCGTCTACATTTGAAATAACGCACTTGAGTGCGCAAAAGACGCGATATGTGAACGGCCCCTTATGCTGTCAACACTGGATGCGGCGCGACAAATTCCCGACAGTAAACTGCTGCTGCGTTCTATTTATGACGTACTGACACAAATTGCATCTTTCAAATTTTTGTATTATGCAAAACTGTTACTCAATCATAGTAGTGGGTGTTGACCATAGACTGTATAAAAACATGGACGTAGTGTCCGTGACGTCACCCGTAGGGTTCTGAAGAGCGTTTTTGAAGCTCAAAGTGGGCGGAGCCGGCCGTCGCCATCTTGGCAGTTCGTCACTCCCAGATAATCAAACATGGGCAAAGAAGCGGGAGCTGGTTGCTGAAACCACGTCCACCGAGCTTGACGCCGGTGACAGCAGCGGCAATCCACCTGTCACTCAAGTGGCCACGCCCTTAATTATGCAGAACTTTAAGGCTTATTATAATTTAAACAGATGAGTTATGAAAAAATTCACCCACTCCCTTTTGCAGCCAGCCTCTAGCGGCCAGTCGATGAATTGCAGTTTTAGTCACTTCCGTGTTGGTTTCACGAGAGAGAGCGGGAGGTTGCCGCTTGGTGTAGACACGGTGTAAGTGTAATCGATTTCCCAGAACTGTATGACCCATCTAAAATCTCATACAGAGACATATAAAATTATATTGCATTCATTCGTAACCTCACAGTTATGCTCTTTAGGCAAATCATCAAAAACAACTTCACTTGTGCCAAACGAAAAAAAAAGGTAAATAATGAGAACAGTTAATGGCAGAATGACACAAACACAAATTTACGTTATGTTTTATTTAGTTTTTAGTAAATACAAAGGTGATGTTGACAATTGTAACTATGGCAACGTCCGCTCCGAGACGGCACCGCGACCACCACCTCAACTTCACAAAACGCTTCCACTACAAGAGAAAGCAGTAGCCACTCACTGCAGAACACAAGATTTAGGGGGCGTGGTTAGATCCACATCTAGGGGGTGGAGACGGGTTGGTTTAGGTATATGTAAGGTGGGAGGAGTTGGATCTGGATCCAACCACGCCCCCTGGACCATCTCAGAGAAAGCGGCAGCCGCGCACCGATTCCACCGCTTGCCGCGTCCCATGTGAAAGGGCCTATATACATCCACATTTTTCCTAGCGAACCTAATGCGTTTTTAATTACGGAAGGCACTTTCGGTTTTGGGAAGTTCCACTGCAACAAATGCAACAAATCTGCAACAAATCAACCTGTTAAAAAATTGTTCTTAAAGGCGTCTCAATAGCGAATAAAGAAATCATTATAAGTCAGTTCACCGATTTATTTTTTATTTATTTTAAATAGTGACCAAATTCCAACGGCAATTAATGTTATTAACAATTTCTCTAATGGATCAATATTAGTAAATGTGAACTAATGTAATAAGTATTTGTAAAAGATAGTGAAACATACTTAAGAATCACAATTGTTAAAGACCAGCTGAAAAGATGCTCTCTCTATTTTAACTCCATAATTAATAAAACTATAAAAAGAAATCTCAATTTCTGGCTTCAAAGAGATCTCTTCCTTAAGGGACCTGTGAAGGTATAACCCGACTGACGTATGCCTCCTTATCTTTGTATCTTGATTAACCACACTAGTAAAAATATAGATAAAATGCTCTTTGATTTCCTATGGAAAAATCGAACAAACCATGTTAAAAAGACTGTAATTATGAATACATATGAGAATGATGGCCTTAATTTCTTAGACTTCACCACTATGAACCACACCTTTGAGATTAATTGGATTAAGCATCACCTAAAACAGCCCACTTCTGTCTGGAATTTTATTCCTGATGTTGTTTTCAAATATTGGTGGACTTAGTTATGTTTTGATGTGTAATTTGAATATAGATAAAATTCCAGCCAAGTTATCTCCCTTACACAAACAAGTGCTCCTGGCTTGGTCATTAATATACTGTATAAGCATAATTTTTAATTTGCATCACTATTTCATCTGGAATAATAGAAACACTCTATACGAACACACATCTCTTTTTTAAGAACAGGTTTGACAACATTTCTTATTGTAAAATACCAATTTCTGAAAAAAAAAAATAATAATTCAGTTGTTATTGGTTTAATCCCTTCAGGCACTCACATGCTATTTAGAGGTATTGATAAAGACCATTCTCCCAGTTCAGCATATTTTGATGTTACTAAATCTTATGTTGGTTTTCAAACATTTGTTTTCTTATAAGCTTATTCTCAGATTTTATCCAGCAAATCATTATTTACAAAAATTGAATTGTATTTATTTGTAATGAATATGAGGAAACTGCCTTGCACTTATTGTGGCACTGTACATAATCAGTTACACTATTGTGTAATGTTCAAAAATGTATCAATAAAAATCTATTCAAGTGTTTAAGACCTTTTTCACTCTTATAGGAAAATGTACTCTTTGGCTTTACTGACTATCCTGACCTAGAGGAACAGTAGTTTTACTTAATTTATCTATACTGTTGACCACATTTCATATTCATAAGTGTAAATTTACCAATAAGTAACCCATTTTTATGGTTTTCTTGACTGAAATATGAATATATATTGATAGTATCAGAGACTCTTTGAATATATATATATATATATATATATATTATTGTTCTTTAAATAAAAAACAAACAAACAAACAAAAAAACCTTCAGCCTACAAGAGTTTAAAAAATCCTAACCGATTATGAAATCTGGTTGCAGCACACACATAAGGAGAATCTTTTCACATTTTCTTCCACGCAAATCTTAACCATGCACACATTACAAGATTTGGACACCAAGATGACCCTCAGATTCTTGGCAACAGGTTTGTATATTTGACAAATGTACAGGTTTGTCTCTTATGTTTCCATTTTGCGGTAATGTTAAGGCGAAATGGGGCCACTACTGTATCTGATAGTGAAACACACATGTGCAGCCCTACATCAGGTCTTGAAAGATGATTTTCTACAAGTTCAAAAAGTGTTTTTTTTTTTTTTTTATCATTTTTTTTTTTAGTATTTTATCACAACAGCAAAAATACTGACATACAGTATGTACAAATATGAAGATAAACAGCATACTTCATAATGATAAACTAAACATTTTATAAGTTAGTATGCTTGACTGAATTGATTGAACAATTTAGTTACTGCTGAAAGGTGTAGTGTTATAAAAGTGTGTGTGTGTGTGTAAGGGTGACTTGAACTAATATATTTAGAAATTCAGTAGTTACTCTAGGAGATTAGGTGAAGAGAAATCTTTCATGTTGACTGTTGTAAATAAATATTTTGTAATGCATTTATATTTGCAGACACCAAAATCAGAGGAAGAATGGCGAGCAATTGCCAAGAACTTTGTGGAGAAATGGCAGTTTCCACATTGTCTGGGTGCCCTTGATGGCAAACATATCTACATCCAGCCCCCAACCCCCAGTGGGAGCATGTGGCATAATTATAAAGGCAGATTTTCTGTTCTCATGATGGCAGCTGTCGATGCAAGTTATAGATTCATTTATATTAGTGTTGGTATTCAGGGCAGGGTCTTGGAAGCTGGGCTCTTTGCACATTCTGACCTA